CGCTCGACTGTTTACGGGTCCGCTGCATCGCAGGCCTCCGGGGCTTGATCCCGGAGCACTCCGGAGTCACGTAAACAGTCGAGCGTAGTGGTGGTTACAAGTCCAAATACACTGCATGACCGTAACTCCAGCAGGCGCTGGCGGTCAAGTGATGATCTGCTAGATAGATAAGCAGTTTGCAGCGGGTTTGGCGGTATGTTTTTATGAAAATCTCCGCAAGTTGGTTGGAGCTGTATGCCAGCCGCTGCCGCCAGGGGCGCCGCGGTTGAAATAAGAAATCAGAATAATTTCCTTCCCCATTGAGTTGCGTCCCAGTGTTCACGGGGATGGACGTCTGTGTCTTCTGCGGGCGTAGAGCTAACAGAACTGGCAGCGTTGCGAGGCAAGGGCTCAAACATGTACGGCTGGAAGCCTTCTACACCAAACCAAGCTTCTGCTGCCCTGAAGTCCGCTTCCACAACATCTTCGTCCATAGCCTGGGTGCCACTCCGAACTTAGTCCCGCCCACAACGTTTGAGGTCGGGAAGTTCGGTCTGGCGTTGCTTAATAGTAGCGCGAGTATCCTCGCACAATATCTGGCGGGCCAATCAAATTGTCAGGGCGAGCTTTATACTATGATGGACAGATGATCAACAGTAACATAATCAACCACGTCACCAAAGCGGGCTTGGGTGACAACAACAATGGCTGCCGCTGGAGAGTTGAGGTGAGTAGGTTCTGCTATTAGGTCTGCTCTAGAAGATATCGACAGCAAATTAATTTTAAAAGAGGAACAGAGAAACACGATCAAGGCTCATCTTCTTATTCTAGGCGTACAACTGCACGCTTTGATTTTTGTTGACAACAACTATGCATTGCTTAACATACGTCACGCACTCCGTTGCTATTATTGGTTGTAGGTCTATCCAATTGAGTGCAGAGGCATTTTTTTTCCTGGATCGTTCGAACTCATATTCTGACTAGAATTGAGTAGGACTACGTCAGGCTACTTCGTCCCCGGTTTCCTCCTCTAAATAAAAAATGGATGACGGAGGAGACTCATCCACGACCTCCGACATTAAACTCTCCTCCTCTTGCTTGTTTCCGCTGTCCATAGCGTTCCTTGACAGTGTCACCAATTTAGTGCTACTTGGTCCTAATGGAATTTCCCATTGGAAACCTACTAGCACTAAGTTGCTAACTGGTTAGCAAGATGCTTCCAACAAACCGGCCACAACCAAACTTGGTTGTGAACCTTCCGCCACAACAATCCCGCCCCTTTATAAACACATTCACTTTATTCACTAGTGTAAAGTCGGGAAACCACTCGGGAGAATTCAGAAATGCAATGGTTGGAACAGTCGCTTCCCAATGACTTTAAACAGATGAGTTTTGAGTTGTGATTTGAAATGGCGAAGTGAATCTGTGTTTCTAAGTAAGGGTGCTAGAGAGTTCCAGGGGTGGGGTGCACAGTAGGCAAATAGCAATATTAGCCTCAGTGTCAGACAATGATCCTTATGAGTTATGAGTTCCTTCTGTGGTAAAAAGGAGCGCCATCACAGATGCTTGTTCCCAGCATCTGATATGAGCAACAAAGGATACGTCGACACCAAACTCGACCTGAACAACAATGGCTATGTTCACACCATGTGCAGCCTGAGCAACAAAGGCCACGTTAACACCAAAGGTGACCTGTGCAACAAAGGCTATGTTCAGACCAAATCTCATCTGAGCAACAAAGGATACGCTGACACTAAACGTGACCTGAGCAACAATGGCTAGGTTCACACCAAACGCAACCT